CTGGGGACTGGGAAAGAAGCTCAACTGATAGTGTGACTGACCAGCATGTGCCCAACCTCTGTCTGACCTCTAGTACTGAATAAAGCCAGTGTGTGGTGAATGACTGAAATCTAAGCCCTTGGGAGGTGAAGGCAAGAGAATAAAAAGTTCAAGGCCACCCTTCGATACATAAGACTTTATGTGGCTAAATGTAACTGACAGCTTGACTGGGCTACATGAAACCCCATGTTAAAAAAAAAAAGATGAGTAGGTTACAGCAAATGAAGAGAGAAGTCAAGACTTAGCTTCATAGAATGTCTTGATAGAATGTTGATAAAGTGTCTATCAACAGGGATCTCATTTTTCCAGACTCTTAAAAGCTTCAGCTATAGGCTTTTGTATAAGCATGGAGAGATGTATACACATCTTTGTCCACTGTGATGAACAAGGTCTCTGGAGAGACAACATGCTCTTATAGGTATAGGTGAGAAAGGGCCCACGCTGGGCTCTGAAAGTGCTGCTGACTAAAAGGGACAGAGGAACACAGGGAAGGTACTAAAAGGACAGGTACATAAGTGGTAGCTGTCATGCTCAGGAGCTTGGTCCTCATTCTATATGGAGTCATTGATGATACTGTGCAATGTAACATTTATTTCAACCCAACCAAGCCCCTGCCTCCTGCCCCCTGCCTCCCCCACACTTATGTCAACTTGGGGTTGGATGCAGAAATGTGGCATGGTCATTTCCAAGGTTTCCAACCCCAGAATAAAGAGAAGACAGAGTGACAGAGAGAAGGCATGACCTCAACTTCATGCCAGTCAGCATTGTGTCAACTCAGACAGTTCCTGCGAGGTTTCCTACTTTGGGTCTCCATGAAAATACTGAATGGTATTATAAATAACAACTATTTCACACAGAACAGTTAGCAAATTACAGCTACAGACCAAGTACAATCTGTTCTCTCTCTCTCTCTCTCTCTCTCTCTCTCTCTCTCTCTCTCTCTCTCTCTCTCTGTGTGTGTGTGTGTGTGTGTGTGTGTGTTCTTGAATGTATGAAGCATGTATACCAGGCAAATGACAATCTTGGGTGTCATTCCCCAGGAGCCATATATCCACCTTCTCTCTCTCTCTCTCTCTCTCTCTCTCTCTCTCTCTCTCTCTCTCTCTC